AATTTGTCCGCTGGTTTTTTGGGCAAAGGCATTAATGCAGCACATTTGGTGTTTAGGGTTAGAATGGGATACTCAGCTTCCTGAGACACTTTCTGAGAAATGGTCTCAATTTATCAGTGAGCTCTCAGAAATTGACAATCTAAAAATACCTCGCTACCTTCCCATGGTAAACGCCAGTAATATACAATTACACGGCTTTTCAGACGCTAGTGAATCAGGCTATGCTTCATGTGTCTTTTTAAGGTTAGAAGATTCTGATCACAATGTTTCAACTCATTTGTTGATTGCAAAATCAAAGGTAGCTCCGCTTAAACGCACTACAATACCTAGGCTTGAACTATGCGGCGCTCATTTACTTGCCAAGTTGCTTCACTATTGCATCAATAAGTTTGATAAACAGTACCATATTACAGCTATCAATGCGTGGTCAGATTCTATGATTGCTCTGTCATGGATCCACACCCCATCTTACAAGCTAAAACTATTTGTAGCAAATAGAGTAGCTCAGATACAAGAGCTTACTCCTTCATGCATATGGAGACACGTTTCCTCAGCAGAGAACCCTGCTGATTGCGCCTCTCGTGGCCTAACACCATCCGCTTTAATGAATCATGAGCTCTGGTGGTCAGGACCTAAGTGGCTTAAATGGGACTCAATTACATGGCCACAAACTAAACTTTCCCCAGATCCTGAAGAATCTCTTAATGAACTGAAATCAGAGACATTCAACCTCATAACACCACTCTCTGCAGACCCATCTGACCTTGAAGCATTAACTCCAGGACACTTCCTGACAGGAGGACCTCTGACGTCTCTAATAGAACCTCATCTCACGGATATCTCTGTAAATCGCCTGAAACGGTGGAAACTTGTGCACGCATTTGCTCAACACATATGGAACAGATGGCATAGAGAGTATCTGCAGACCCTCCAAGAACGATCTAAGTGGATTACTCCAGAAGAAAACCTCAAGATCGGAGACTTAGTAATCATTCATGAAGACAATACTCCACCTCTTGCTTGGATGCTTGGTCGAATCATCTCAGCCTCTCCTGGTCAAGATGGCACTGTAAGAGTCGTTCAAATCAAGACATCTACAAAAACCTTAACACGACCTGTAGTTAAGGTTTCCCGCCTTCCTATAAACTAACCTAACATAACTCTGGCTACCAACCCCCTTCCTTATTTTTATTCCTCATATTTCAATCATGCATGGTTCTTGTTTTTCTGTTGAACCGGATCGGTTCAAGGGGGCCGGTATGTCAAATATATATACTGTTTTGTTCTAAGTATTCTTATATTAATTTTTAATTTTAATGCACTCTAATAATATGTAACTGATTTCACCACAATCTCCATTTAAATACCATTTCAAATAGTTAAATGTTTTCCTCATAGAGTGCATCAGTATCTTCAAATCCCAATGGTTTCAAGACTAGCTCTCTGATTGGTCACTGATATGTATCACATGACCAACTCCTTCCTTCAGTAGAGTAGTGGCACACTCTTGGGCAAGTCCTGTTGCTATGAGGACTTAACATGCCTTTTCTCCTACATTTTCAAATACCATAAACCTCTATACCAACATAAATATTTTCCGCTGGCTTATAACTTATTATAAAGACAATTGAAGTGTTTTTTAACATCATATAGTGTGAAAAAGTGAACTTATCAACATTATAGCATTTCAGGATTCATCAAAGGGGGCCCCCAGTCTACGCATCAGTTTAATAACAAAAGGTTAGTGTATCCAATTCAAAATTACTAAAATACAGTCCACATTGCTTTCTAACTAACATAAACTCCCCACAGCGTGCCTACGCGAAACACGACCTTAGTCACAGTTGGCGACAGGTGCAGGCTCCATCACAACCCTGTGTGTGTGTGTGTGTGTGTGTTACGGAGTGAAAAATTGTACAGTATGGACTAACCTAACTTAATCTAATATCACCAGCTGAGAGGGTTCATGAGATGCGTGAGTTTTTGATTTAACGGGTGGGTGGGGGTTTAATTGATGTGGTCGTTCGTGGAAGTCCCTGATTCGGGTGAAAATAGTGCTTGAGCTGAGAGACATGAGCTCGCCTCACAACTTTTCCTGTCTTTGGATCCATTAAAATTACTGTAACAGGTGATGTGTAGGCCTGTATAATAGCTGGTCGTGACCAGAGTGGAAGCAATTTAGCATTGATTTTGTTGATTGCCTTGCTCTGGTGGTGTAGTCTAAACATGACCCAATCGCCTATCTTGAAGGATGGGGGGTGTCTTCCCTGATTGTATTGTCTTTCGCGGGCTTCTCGTGCTTTAGTTAAATTTTGGTGCGCTTGTACCCATTTGTCCCTGGTTGTTTGGGGGTTTGTGTTGTAATTTAGTAATTGGTCCAAATCCCAGTTTAGTTCTAATGGATGATTGATGTGAAAACTTAAAAAGAGGTCTGCTGGGGAATATCCGGTGCTTGAGTGTTTGGCTGAATTAAAGGCTATCTGGAAAAGATGGATATTTTGGTCCCAATCAGTTTGATGCTCTGAGTGATAAATTCGAATGGCTATTTTGATGTTCTTATTCATTCGCTCGGCATGGCTTGGGTTTGGATAGTATGGAGTGGTGGTTATGTGGCGGATCCCTAACTGAAGACACATGTCTGAAAATTCTTTAGATGTAAAAGACGAAACGTTGTCTGACACCAGATATTTTGGGAAGCCGAAGTAAGCAAAGAGGCCTGAGCGTAGAAGTGAAACTGTGGTTGCTGGTCTCTTGGTTGATTTTGGGTTGATTGGTCTAACAGGCTTGCTGACAGGGGGGCCACATCAAGTAAATCCTGAATTGAAGTGATAGGCTTAAGGCCTGCAAAGGTCGCTCGTGTTTGCTGATTAATACCTCTAAAAATGGTTTGAAACATTTCCTGTTCAGGGGTGTTAGGAGACAAAATGGTGTGCAAGGTTTGAATGTCCTTAACAAAATCGGCTAAGTGTTCCCGTTGGTGCTGACGCCTATATAAATTTTGGTTCTTGAGTTCTCTCAGAGTGTCCGAGGTGAAAAAATTCTCCCTAATGCTATGTTGTGTTTGGGGCCATGAAAGATTTTGTGCGATTGCTGTCATCCAGAATTCTCTGAAACGGTTCGACGTATAAGGCATTATGTTCATTATGATGTATCTATCTTTGACGAGATTTGGATTGGATCTTCTACATTTACACTAGCAATAGAAGTGCTTTTGACCTGTTGGTCACACTCTTCTTGCTCATCAGTCTTGGTTTCGTCAGTTTGCTCACTAACTTTTTTTTTGGTCATCCGTTATGTTCCCACGAGTACCGGGTATCTAAAAGTCCACCTCCCCAGTGACCCGATTAGAGAGGTAAGGGGTTCATATGACTGGGTTCCCCCTGGTTCCCAGAAGGCTCCGTTTCAGACACTGAGTATTAGGCCCCCAGTGCCGCAAGGCTCTCAGCACGGGTTGCATTCCACCTTAGCCCAGGGCCCGCAGTGCTCAGACATAGCTATTGCTATGACTGAACGTCTGGGTGGGCGCCCTGCTCTAAGAGAGGCAAGCCTCGTCTTAGACCAGCACGAAATACCCAGTTCTGATGGTGCAGCTGCCCCCCACCAGAGAGTCATTCGGGACTCTAGCCTAGATCCACCGAGATCAGCGTGACAGGGGCCACGACGTGAACGGTGCAGTCATTGGACTACACAGGCCTGTACTTCATTTTCGTACTGGCCTTCTCGGACGGTCTTGAGCACCATTTCTGATGCCCTTGGGGGAGAAATAGTCCTCGGTTTCAGATATCAGTGCAGCCTTAGCTGTTTGAGGAACTACCGCACCCCCTTAACCCCCTTCTTGAAAAGCTGGCGAGCAGTTTGCAATGGTAGGTGCAAGGGATTAAAGCTGGTTTTTTTCTTGTGAGAGGTTATGCAAAATATTTAAGTCGGAGGCAGACAGGATTTCCCTGTGTTTTCTTTTTTCTGTACTGCTATTCCATGTATCTCTTGAGTCAAGGGAAAGGAGCCACATACTATTCCCATTTGCCTGTAAGCTGTACCCACTGTTTTAAGAGTATTATGAGATTAAAGACTATTTTTTATAGAAAAAGTTAATTTTTTTCTATCAGTCATTGCTATAGGCAGTATTTTACTTAAGCTTGTGACTTTGGTTTTAAAGACGTCCATTGTCCATGTAGCACTTGCACTATGATGAGGATTGATAGAAATAAAAATTCATACGATAAGGTGAATATTAATGCAAACGCAAACACCCAACTATGAAGCCCAAATTACAAAAGTACTGTAAGACACTACTTACGACAAAACAAGCTTATAAGTTTAAACACAACACGAATTACAAGTAGGCCTATTGTGAGACAGTTTGTTACAAGGAAACAAGAACATATAAAAAAAAGGTATTCCTTTTTCCTTACTTCAATGCTGATCAACTGATATGCATATTTGCATACTTAAGTTGTCTATGAGGTTTAGTGTTATTACGAATTTATTGTAAATAAGACTCAACATGATCTTTTTTTTGCAAGCTCAAATACAGTGTGAATTTTCATGGTTCTAATTTCTATGGACCCGATTTCCTTAAGGTTTTGAAAAGTCATATAGTTCATCAACAAATAGTTGATTCTTTGGGTACAGGAATCACACCTGGAAGCTTACTTTCAAACCCATCTTGGCATAAAATCAAGGAATTACTTTTAACGTATCCTTCTACAATCCATACTCTTTATGGTTTCAAAAACACCATGTTGAGTCTTATTCACAATAAATTGCCAATAACACTAAACCTCATAAATAACTATGTAATAATGAAGTTAAGTTGGTTGGCAATGAAGCAAAGAGAACAGGGATACCATTATATGTGCTTGTTTCGTTCTTACAAATTGTCTCATGATACATGTAATTCGGGTTGTGTTTAAAACAAAACACCCTATACTACCTAGGTTTTTATACCCTACTGTTTAGTATTCATCATCAGATGCACTAAATAAACTTCTGTTTTACAGGTTTAGCGAAGTTCCAAAGGTTGTTTTTGAGCTGAAGCTACTGAGAACCTTGAACCTCAGCAATAACCAACTTGCAGACCTGAGCAGTGTTTGTGGCTGTGAGTCTTCTGTTGCTTTGGAGAATCTGCAGTACCTAGAAACTCTAAATATCAGCAACAATGAAATCTTCCAGCTACCACCTCAACTGGGCCTCATGACTAACCTTAAGTATGACATTTTAAACTAAGTAGAATCTCAATTATCCAATCTAAAGTAGTTGTGGTAATACTCTGGGTAATAAAGGGTGACAAGAAAAAATTATACTTTTTAAAAACAAGCATTTACATATTTCTAAACGTCATGGTATTTTAGGTAAGGTCAATACTTCAGTATGATAAATATTTTTGGGCATCACTCACCTTATTGAAATCAGGAGAACACAGTCCTTGTCATATCACAGTTCATTACACGTACACACTGATAAAAATACAAAAATAAAAATAAAACTGAATATAAAATCACAGACTAAAGTTCTCAACTCCAACGTTTTGCCGCACCAATTAAAACTGCGGCGTTTTCAAGGTTATTTTGTCTTCTCATGTAAACGTAGGACTGTGTTCTCCTGATTTCAATAAGGTGAGTGATGCCAAAAAATATTTATCATACTGAAGCATTTACATAATTTACTCATTTGTTTTTGTGTCAATTATAACTTTGATTACATTAAAATGTTTGCAAACTTGCCATTTAAGAAGTACACTATTTACTAAACCTAGTTGGATACTCTTGTCCTTTACTTATAGAAAGGTGCTTTACAATGTCAGTAAGGTTGAGTTCACTTTCATTCATGCAGGTTTCAACCATTTTCTTAAATTCTTTCTTTACACGTCTCAGCATTTGATGGCCACCATTAATTGTTGCCACTTCTTAGTTAATTGCGTCCTTGAAACCCACCAAGGTTTGGGGTTTGTGAGTGGGGACGTGTAATTTGAGAATGCCCAAAAAATATTCAAATTTGCTCAAATCTTGTAACATTGGGGCTCCCAGAATGTCTCGGAAATATGAACACCTGTTCCTATAAACATAATACTGTACACACTACGGCCATTGAATCCTCAGCAGTGTGTGTGTGATCGATTTTATTGAAAATAAACATAAGTATTGTTAACGTTGCTGTCTCATCTGTGACCTGAAAAAAAATGCTTGAGCATATCAACACTTACGAATCAAAGCTTGTCCAACCATTTCAACATCTACAGCAAGCAACCTATTTTTGACCAAGTGGCTTCTTTTTTCCGATAAATCCATCATTTCTCAAATTGGAATCCATCTGTGTTGTATTTTGGCTGCAAACTGTATTGTGGCATCTAAGATGAAATTGAACGAGAAAAGTCGCTGCACTGCCATGATAGGCTCACCATTTCAGGCATATTCATTATACGCAAACATACGGTGTTTACCGTCCAATGCTCCATAGTTGATAAAATGGCATGGCATAATATACATCAATAAAATGACACCCCCTTTTGATTATAACTGTTGTGCGGATACTATCCGTTTGAAAAATGTCTGGTTCCTGTCGTTCACCCAATGGGTCTGGAAACTATCTCGCTTGGAATCGAACCAGTGATTTTAATATTTGAAGGCGAGCACTATAACCATTTGACTACCCAGACATCTTATGTCTTATGTATTTAGTTGACTCATTATTAGCCTCTGATATTCTATTTTTTACCCAAAATGAGCCATAATGGTTGTAGTTTTCCCTCAAAACGGTAGAAAATTTAGTTCACAATTGATATTCAACCATAAAATATACAAAAGTTGATCAACAAGAATATTTGACTTTTATCATTGTGTTTAAAAACATATAATTTTTACAACTATAGATCTTAAGCAGATGCTCTATATACGGTAGCTGTTTTTTGTGTGTTTTTTTTTCAACTATTCATACCAAAACTACCCAAACTGGTTGTTATGATAATTAAAGTGTTATAAATCATTCTAAAATATAATGGAAAAGCAAAAAAATTGAATACAATAATTTCTTCTCAATTAATCAATAATCATCATTTATTGTCATTCAGCATTTACAATCATGCAATACACATAGGTTATTTTTACAGACATGTGTTTTAGGCATGCAACAAGTTATTCAAATATATTAGCATGAAATAGGTCTTAAAGTATGTTGAATGAACGCAAAAACAAAAATAATAATGATAATCCAAAACAGTACACATATTAAACAATATGGAATAATAAACAACAATTAGGCTCCATAATAATGCTACAATTATTATTCAAATGCATCTTATTATCACTTGATATTTTTTAGATGAATCATAGTCAATGGTTTTCTAGGTCACTTGAAGTAACTGGCAACAAATTTCGTCAGCCAAGCTACCATATTGTGTCCAAGGGAACTGAAGCTATCTTGGCCTACCTGAAGAACAAACTACCCGAGGAACCCTCACCTGAAGTACAAGAGAAGAAAACACCTACCAGAACACCCGTGTCTTTCTTTGTATCCTAAGTGCTTGTGTGTCCATAAGTGGTCCATGAAAATCAGTCACGTTTTAACCAAATTTAATCATTACTAAGGATCAGCACCAGCAATTCTAGTCAAAGCTATGAGCCAACAATTAATTACCGTTTTTATTTTCTCCACGAAACGAAATATGAGTTGCACATTTGCACTACTCTGATACTCAAAGCCTAAGGAAATATATGGATTACTGTTTGATTTTTTAAACATTTGATCTTATGTATTTGAAACATTATTTTTGGTTTTGATACCTTTAAAGGGTGTTAATTCTTTCCCCAACAGTTTTTTTTTTTCTCTAGATTACTCATCTTCCTGTAATGAGCTTGAAAAAAATCATCACATTAGACTTTTGCTATCAGATCTTTTTGAGATGAAAAATTGCATCTAAACCATCAAATAGGGATTATCTGAATACCCAAAAATTGTTTCCTCCTATTCACCCAATGTTGTTGAGACTCTGCACATGAAAATTGTAGTTACTACACTACATACTACACAAAACAATGCAAGATTAAATTTGGAAGCATATTCAAAACTATGAACACGTAAAGCATCAGTTCTATGGACACAAAACCAGCAATCTCATTCAAAATGTGTTTATTTTTATTTGGTATTAAAAATTGAATTTCGTTTTTTTTTTATTTACAGAGTGTTTGAACAGGAACTCTCTAATTTGAATCAATAATAGAGACGACAGTGGGAGGACCGATGCTACTAGGTGTCAAAAGCGGTATATCCTCAACACGCCATAATATTAGATAGGCCTAATAATATTAGACACACATAATACATAATATTAGATTACATATATGCATTATTAGGGATGATACTTTCCTTTTTATTTGGATCCGGTAACCCCTCAAGTCTTGTTTATACCCAAGTACCTGTCCTATGCAGTTAGGTCTTTTTACATAGTTATTTGAAAATATTTAGTTGTTGAGTTGTGTTAAGGCAAAGTTGCAACAAAAATTTCAAATCTTCTTCCTCTGTATAGAGCAACTAATGGGTTCTCAGTAAAAGTTTACTACGAGGAAAACTAAAGTAAGTTAATCTCTTTCATTTTCTTTCCTCAAAATTAGAGCTTTCTTTTGCAAACACTCTGTACCTGCTGTTATTCATGAGATAGTTTAGGTTTAGATGTTAGTTAGTGATTGCATTGAAATTGAAATATCAGAGAATATTTTCTTAGCTCTAGTAACTTTTATATACAATTAATTATTGAAAATCTCAGTATTACACAAAAGTCGCGAAAAGCTATATTTTTCTGCTAATCTTATTTCATTGTACAAATATGTATAACAGATGTTTTAATTTTTTCTAGGAGTTTTTATTTTATTTTATCAGTAGTGTTACCATATGTTTATCATTTTGTTATTGAGTTACCAATATTTATTACCAAAAACGATTGGTAATATTCATCATTCCAAGTTAAAGGTATTTTACTTTACATATTTTTATGCTTAGTTGCAAAATTTGCCAAAAGTTCAAAGCTTGCGTACCTGTTGTTTATGAGATTAGGTGGTGTAGATGAAATATTTATTTATTTATATTGAAGTTGTTTAGCTATGTCATTTAGTGTAGTTACTAATTTGTTACATAGAGGAGAGGTTTTATTTGCCTGAATTTTAATGTTATGTTAAGTTATACCAAAGTAGTTTTAATATGTTTAGCAATGAACTTTAAGTTTGAACTTGCACGAACATAAGTTTAAGGTTGAAACTTATCTTAGGAGGTTATATATTCAAAATATATAAAATATTTAATCACAAAAATTATAGTCAAAGTATCCTAGTCAAATCTAATACGATTTTTAAATAATCATACGCTAGTCAAGATTTCACAGAGCACAGAATATAAATAGACAGGTGCGAGATGTGAAGCCACCCGAAAATAACGTGCCCGTATAAGGGGTGGGGGAAGCGTTGAGTCATCCTAGTTCTGCCTCAGGTACTAAGCTTCTACACATATTGACACTGCCTCGTTGTTTTATGAGTGAAGCTGTCTTCAAAAGCTACTGTAATTCAAATCAAATTACAACTACAAGAAATCTAACTGATTCAGGTATCGCGAAAGTGTTACTCAATCGTATTGGAATCACACTGTTTCCTACAAGGATTGTGGGGTTTGGCCTCTCTGCCCGTAATGCTTGCTGTATATTCATAGCCTCTCTATTTCTATTCTGTGCTCTCTGCTTGAATTGTATTCAAATTCCATAAAGTTCAAACTATCATATTAAAATATTAACCATCATATCATATTAACCAGTCTGTAATATTATCATTGGGTTTTTTCATTTAAGAAAATGGTTATGTAATAGTTTTTTCAATAAAAGTAACTAGTGTTATACACAATTGTAATAACTTTTTAGTGTTCATAATTTCTCTCATCAACATTAATTTATCAGTTTCCTCCAAGAAGTTTTAACAATTTCCTATCAGATATTTAACGTATATATAAGCAAAGCCATTTTTTATATATTTTATATTATCATCCTAACAATATTATCATCCCTGTTAACCACATTTTTGTTTGAAAATCACCAATTTACAACACAAATACATGTTGTTATCCATGTTGTGGACATGTTGTTATCCAGATGTTTGATTTTTAAACTACTGTAGTTTGAAATGTAGTTTTGAGAGTAATAGAAGAGACTGCAAATATCTTTAGAGACAGATTCAGTCATTATTAACCTTTACCACAAATTCTAACACATTGATCACTATATGATTGCATATCTTCTATGACCAAGTTTTTATCATAATAATAATTTGTTACCCCTATTTACCCCTCTAATGCTATTGCATGAAATAGTTTGTTTATCAACGATTTATTAACTTTTATTTATTTTAAGGCATTTTATTTATTACTTATTTATTTAACATGATAAGTGTTTGGTATTTATTTTCCACTCCTAATCAGATTTTAACATCAGCTTTTAAAACTCTATCCTCAGACTCTAGGTTTAGTAATTAAATAAAAAGTGGCACATTATAATTTTTAGGTACTGTCAAAGAACTTAAAAAATAATATCGCTAAGAAATAGTGATTTCTACAAAGATCTGGTCAAAAAAATGTATTTGCTGTACAGATTACTTTTCTCAAAGGAAAGGCCAGTTAATGTTTTGTTGATACAAAACTGTAACAGAGCTTTGTAACAATTAAGTATTATTTTTTGAATCTCTGTAATAACCCTATCAGTATTTAAAAATAATTGTTGGGACCATTGACCCTTGGTCGTAAAACTAAGATAGTTATGGTTAGTGTTTCTGTTTTGTCATTTTACTTAATACTTTATTATATTTTATAGCTAAAAGAGAGCTTCAGTTTTTGAAATCAGTTCATTCACCTTTAACACATTGCACTTAAACAGGATAACTATTTTAGAGCGTGGTCTTAATACTAATTTTGTAACACTCCCGATGCAGCAAACCTGCATACATTTTATAATTGCTAGTTCAGCACATATTCTAAGGATCTGAAGTAATAACTGAATAGTCTGATTACTCCACATAATCATTTATCCTCCCTCAATTAATTACTTTAATTACTTTTCAAATCTTTGGAAACTCAATAAACATTCATGTGATGCTTTTGCTAGCACTTGTATTTCACTAAATCATGTGTGATTGTTGCTAAACATAGTTATATATTTTAATTATTTATTCCATTTATAATCTTGAAACAAAATTTGATGTTGTCCAACAGATTAATTTTTGTGGTCTGCACTTCATGCCTAATTTATCTTTATATAGATTCTGGGTGATTCTTTTAATAAATTTGTATTGACCTACATATATGAATTTTATAAAAACCACCTTAAAAAGTTGTTTGCACAACTTCTTTCAGTCCAACTCTTGGCTGCAAAAGTATAGATTTAATGTTTATTTGAGTCATGAAACATTAAGTTTAAACATTTAGTTACCATTATTCACCCTTGCCATGTTAGTAATTGGTTTTAATTTGAGTTACTAATCATAATATTCACGTTGAACTTGAGAAATGTTTTTAGCTTTCAAATAGTTTTGTTTTTAAAATAGTACGTATTTGTGCATGGACTTTTATAGTTTGACTGATGTTATGTCAGCAAATGGACTATATGAGTTTGATTTATGTAATATTGTAAATTTAAATGGTACAAAATGTTTATTTTTACTTATAAGTACTATCACAAATAAGGTGGACAATAATTCACAAATAATTTATAAACAGTAATCATCAAGTGATCTATTACTACAATTTTAGGATGTTGTGATTAATCTTCTGGTTAACAAATCATGTTTTGAGTTATTGATAAGAATATATTATTTATCAATTTTGTAGTAGTAATAGAATATATTTAGTGTTTTATTTTGTTGTTAGCCTAGTGACAGTTTAATTGTTCTTTCTGTGTGTTTGAATACAATTTATTGTTGTTATGCAATTTTGAATTAATAAAGGTTGCTTTTGCAAATACAATGTGAATAGTATTTCTTTAGAACATGTATTCCTCACATTGAATTGCGCGTTTAAATGAGTTTAGTACTGTATGTCCATGAACTTGTCTACCTAACTTTGTCATCAACTCTATGCATAATGAGATTACCTAGTGTTGAGCCATAATTTGAGTATTTCACTTACCTAGGATTTCTTTTGAGGATAGGAAAAAAATTCACTTATTTATACCGACAAAGTGCAATGGAGTATACCCAACCCATAAATCAGTTGTATTCAGGAAAGATATTTGAGATGCAGATTGAAATTACAGGTAGGCCTACTGTAAGACACTGTTTAACGACAAAAAAAGCTAATATATTGGTATCCTTGTTTTCTTTACTCCATTGCTGTTCAGACGATATGCATTGTTGCATAGTTATCTTTGAGGTTTAGTGTAATTGGGAATTTATTGTAAATAAGACTCTATTTTCACAAGCTCAAATAGAGTATGTATTTTAGGTTTACCACTTTTTTTTACTGATCCGTTTTCCTAAAATTGTTTACTAGTCTATATATTTTGATGTACTGGAACCACGCCTGGAAACTTATTTCCAAACCTCCTCTGACATAAAACCAATTATTTACTTTTAACAAGCCTCATAGATAACAAAACAGTGGATATCAGCTGATCGACAATGAAGTAAAGAAAACAGGGACACCACCAATAAGCTTATTTTGTGGTAAAAAAGTTTCTCACAGTAATTTGTGTTTAAGGAAAACACCCTGTATAAAGTTAGTTGTTCTCAAAATTTAATGCATCAAAGAAACGTTTGTTTAACAAAAGCACTTATACATTTGTGGATATATTCATGATTTAGTTGGGTACTTATGCAATTAATAATGCCTTGAAATCACATACAAGTATAATTGAATGGTAACTAAATAATAAGTATACTACATTGTGCATCTTTGATTCGATTGTAAACAGCTGACGCTAAAAGTTTTATATCAAGCAATTATGGAATCTGTAGCATTTTTAGTCAGTTCACCAAATCTAATAAGGATTGTTAGATCGTTGGGTCTTTTGTTGTTAACCTTTCAACTAAACTTCCTAAACTTAGATCAAAGAGAAAAAAACATGAAAATCTATTAAACTGATGAGGACTTTATCATAAAAAGGGTTTGTAGTTAGATCTAGTGGTCACAGCACAAGATTGTGAACTGGTAGTCAAAATTCAAATCTGCCAATTCTGTTAAACAACTATCAATTCAATGAAGAGGTCTCTCGTGAGGAAAACCTTCTTGGCTTTGTGGGAAATTAGCCTTACAGGAAATCACCTCAGGAGTGGAAAACCAGTAAAATGTTCCAGGAGTTGGGGAAAAAGGCCCTTCCTTTATATGTTATCCGGGTCTAGGTCTTACAGTGCTTACGGCAATAGCTACTTCCCTATAGGGGAATTCGTTAAAAGTAACATTTATTTGCTATAGTCCTCGCCACCCTAACTCGAGGCAGCCCAAGGCCGGCACGACATATATCTAGTGCAGCCTCAAGTTAGGGTGGCGAGGACTATAGTGTTATATACATTTAATTTAGAACTTTATCAACACAATACGAGTATAATGTAAGATTAATCAATTATTATACTAATTTCTTATATAATTAATTAAGTATTCAATAGTATTAAAGTAGTTTGAGCTCTCCTGTTGTCAATAGCCAATATTAAATTCTACAACTACAAGGGGGTAAAAGTTTTCATCACTGCAGTTTTTTACAACTATAATACAAACAAACCCGAGTTAAGTTTATTATGTATTCATTCTAATTAGGAGTGTACATCTACAAATGTATTTATACCGTAAATATAAATTAAATCTAACCTTTTTATATGTTTATCAATTTGTCAAGCCTAAAAATTTGGCACTTTTCATTTGATTGATTTATTAGTTATAGTAATTTTGGGGGTAAGATAATACAACCCCCACATTATTGTTTCATTACTTGTACAAGTAGGTAATTAAATAATCAACAATGTTTGTGAAGCACTTCCCTCATATGTGCGTCTAAATTGTATTGGAAATTCTTGTTAGGTACTTACTAGATAAATTTTAGCTACAGTACATAAAATAACTGAGTAGCGGCAGATGCATATAAATAAACTACACTGTATACTGTCCCTGTCACACGCTACTAGGCTTGACAGCCCCAGCAGGCCACGGCAACAGTTACAGTTGACGAGATCGTCAGCAATTATAAGCCAATCGTCGTGCCTAGGTAAAGACATCAACTCTCGGCTTCTCAAACAATAAAAAGACTTTTCAGTCGTTCCTGCTTATTGGGCTACCAGTATGGTTTGACCAAGTCAAGTCAACCCAGGTCATGTAGAAGCTACACTAGAAACACTGCGAGACTCTAGCATGAGCAGAGCGTATTTAGGAACCTGTCTAGACTTAAATCACAAACATATCAATTTTAGTTGTTTACTTGGGGTTTTTAGCTTAAGATAGTCACTATACTAAAGGTAGTTTAACCTTAAATACTTAAATAACACATAATTTAACTACCTTGGTTAAAAGTCTAGATTAGCGAATCCTACCGGAGTCTGGGTGAACTGTTGAAAACCTAGCGGTGACTGGCTGAACTAGCTCAGCTAGGCGCTATTCTCCTTTTATTGGCATCAAACATATTAGAATGGCAAACGCGATAAACCTATTCTAAAACTAGTATAGATGTATAATTTTCAATTATTATGTACAAATAAATTAAATTTTAACTAAAAAAATATCCTATTTGGTTAAATTAAGTTATTAGGCTACATTCACTGTTTACTGGACGTAATGTAAAACGACAATGTTCCCAAAATCCTTAGTTATTCTGCAATATTGACATTATTTATTAGAATACCGTAGTTGAGCTACTGCATAAGAAATTACTGCAATATGGGTTACTGTTTAATATTCCGTTTGGGTTATGACTAAACTTTGGACTTCTAACTGCAACAAGAATTTTGATTTGTGACTATACAGAATGGTATTTTTTGGGTAAATTAAACCTTTTTGACATGGACCTACTTAATGACGGAAATTTAAATAGTTTACTTAGCTCTGGTCTTGTCCAGTTTGTCTATAAATAATCTAATCTAAAATAACTGGTAATAAAAAAAATATTATAGATAATATTAGCTTCCAAATTTCCAAATTTAGTTGTTAAGTTTCCAAATACAGTAACATCGTTAAAACCTTGTATTTCTGTTAATACATTAATATTTACTTTTCGTGATGCAAAAATATCTGTTATAATTTCTCGGATAACTTAAAATGTTGGTAACTGTTTGGGCATGTAAAATACTGTATATGTAAACCATAATAATCCGAATTTCAATAGTTAAAAATCTATAGAAAAAAAATCTGTTCATACATATTAAGAATTCTGAGTACTGGTGTGCAGTTTTTTTTTATACAACATTTAATTAGTGAAAAGTTATAAAAACCATAAAAAATTAAAGGTACACTCATCTCACCTATAAATAGATTCATAATGAATCTAATAAGGTTAAATGGGTATAGCCGATTTTTTATAGCATTTATAAACGTAATACATTTTGATAAAACGATACTTTTTACCATCAATACTTTTTTACACCTATATAGACTAAATTTATGAGGTAAGTCAATAACTATCACTTTTAAAATGTACTAATGTAAGATTTGTCAGGCCATTCACACAGCCATATGAGGCATGTAAGCTACAGATTGAATTATTTGGAAAAATGGGCGGGGCAGGTTTTAGTTATCAAATTAATTACTTGTACTACTAATTAAATCATTAACATAGTTTGTAAAGCACTTCGCTCATACGTGCGTCATAAATTGTATTGGAAAATTCTTGTTTATCTAGAGAAATTTTACCTACAGTACATGAAAGTTGGGCCAAGTTGGGACGTCGTGTATCTAATGTGGCTATTACCATTGACTATATAACACTATATATGTTATATAACACTATAGTGTTTTATAGTCAAATGCTATTATAACACTATTACCAACAAAGCACGCGGTTCACCTTTTCTGTATTTCACATTCTATTGTAAAATTGTAAATCTATCTGGTGTGAGAATCATGTTGGAAATACACTTGGCAGTCGGTATATCCGTATGGCGTCCAATTAAATAAGCCTAAAATAGTTTTCTAAGTTTTTTTTACAAGGGAATCTTAATTCGGATAAGGATGTCATAGTAAGGACAATTTCAGAATGCATTCTCAAAACGTCCTGACATTTACAGAAAATGAAGATGCACAATAATCGCCAGAAACGCTCGAACAACTACTTCTGGCAACGTTTTGAGATAACTGAAAGTAGAAATTCCCCAATGCTTTTCAAATGTTAGACGCACAGAATGTAAGAAATTAGAACATTTTAGGTACTATACTAAAATTTTATTTGACATATTTTGCAATTTTACACCAACGTTATATTTTGTTTCAGTTAAAACGTTCGTTAGACCAATAAAACGTATTACTTAATATGCATTTATTTTTATGTTCTTATATTTTTCTGTGATGTTTAAAATCAAAATCAAATTTTTTAAATATCAATGTTAGATAAACTATAAAAACAATAAATAATTGTTTTATTGTGTTGGTAGAATTAGAATGTTGTTTACTTGCGCCACTAGCATTTCCCCATTATTTTTCTCATATCGATGTTTTAACTCGATATTTTTATGCCATCGATTTCTTTTGATCGATACATTTTTGAGAAATGTTACCATCTCTAATTATAAGCCAATTTTCGCTCCCATGAGGAGAGACGAATTTCGGCTTTTCAAATAATAAAATATTCTTCAAGAAACTTACGAATGGATAACCTGATCGATAATAAATGGGGTAGTCATGTATTAGCTACCCGAAAATCCTTGCGAGAGTCAACAGATACAGAGGCTTCTTTGGTAACTAACACGACTTTAATTCTAAAAACTGTGCATGATTTTGTATACATAGCTTGTTTTTCTTCTTGTAGTTGAATTTAAATTTGTTTGTTATGCTTAATAGAATTTAAATCATTTATTAATAAGTAAACCAACCGCTGGATTAAAGAAGTCCGTTTCAGGGATACCTATCGGTGAACAAGTGTACCATTGACTATACACCTCACTACGCGAATCGCGAGCTACACCTAGCGGTGTTTTGCCGAACTAACTAACTAACAACTATAACCATTGACTATATAACACTACAGTAGTGTTATATAGTCAATGCTATAACTAACAACAACTATAACAACAACCAACAACTATAACTACTATAACACACAACAACAACAACTATAACTAAAAACAACTATATAACAACTATAACTAGTGGGCAGTTTTTCGATCATCGATAGACAAATTACGCTATAAAGAAGTATATAAACAGTATTTGTTTGAATATGTATGCAATAACCATATCATCACATGTTATAGATGTACAATCTGAGACAAACTGATCATTTAAGGAGAATGAATGTTGTAGTATGCTTGTTTACGGACGTAATACCGGGGACCGAGCTTTGCTCGGAAGCGGTTGGTTGGGTTTATAGTAAGCAATGTAGAGTATACATTTTTATTTTGTGCTAATTTGTATGCTAACATTTAACCTATTTTTGTAGTGATTTCCATATAATGTACTCCAATATACAGGGTAACAAGGTTTTGTGAAATTTATACAATTAATTAAATTTACCATATTAGTTTCTATCTGCTGGAGAAACTTTTTCTGTTCTAAAAATCTATAAGTCCAATTTTAAGGTTTATTGACTATTATTTTTTTGACCAGTTACCAATCAATTTTTCTTAGCAAAATTCTAAATCCTGTCCGTCTCCCACGCAGACAGATCCGGTCACCGAGGCTGCCAACTGTGTGCCAAACACCCGTGTCTTTCTTTGTATCATAAGTGCTTGTGTGTCCATAAGTGGTCCATGAAAATCAGTCACGTTTTAACCTAATTTAATCATTACTAAGGATCAGCACTAGAAATTCTAGTCAAAGCTATGAGCCAACAATTAATTACCGTTTTTATTTTCTCCATGAAACGAAATATGAGTTGCACATTTGCACTACTCTGATACTCAAAGCCTAAGGAAATATGGATTTCTGTTTGATTTTTTAAACATTCGATCTTATGTATTTGAAACATTATTTTTGGTTTTGATACCTTTAAAGGGTGTTAATTCTGTCCCCAACAGATTTTATTTTCTCTAGATTACTCATCTTTACTGATTTTCCTGTAATGAGCTTGAAAAAAATCATCACATTATACTTTTGCTATCAGATCTTTTTGAGATGAAAAATTGCATCTAAACCATCAAATAGGGATTATCTGATTACCCAAAAATTGTTTCCTCCTATTCACCCAATGTTGTTGAGACTCTGCACATGAAAATTGTAGTTACTACACTACATACTACACAAAACAATGCAAGATTAAATTTGGAAGCATATTCAAAACTATGAACACGTAAAGCATCAGTTCTATGGACACAAAACCAGCAATCTCATTCAAAATGTGTTTATTTTTATTTGGTATTAAAAATTGAATTTAGTTTTTTTTATTTACAGAGTGTTTGAACAGGAACTCTCTAATTTGAATCAATAATAGAGACGACAGTGGGAGGACCGATGCTACTAGGTGTCAAAAGCGGTATATCCTCAACACGCCATAATATTAGATAGGCCTAATAATATTAGACACACATAATACATAATATTAGATTACATATATGCATTATTAGGGATGATACTTTCCTTTTTATTTGGATCCGGTAACCCCTCAAGTCTTGTTTATACCCAAGTACCTGTCCTATGCAGTTAGGTCTTTTTACATAGTTATTTGAAAATATTTAGTTGTTGAGTTGTGTTAAGGCAAAGTTGCAACAAAAATTTCAAATCTTCCTCTGTGTAGAGCAACTAATGGGTTCTCAGTAAAAGTTTACTACGAGGAAAACTAAAGTAAGTTAATCTCTTTCATTTTCTTTCCTCAAAATTAGAGCTTTCTTTTGCAAACACTCTGTACCTACTGTTATTCATGAGATAGTTTGGGTTTAGATGTTAGTTAGTGATTGCATTGAAATTGAAATATCAGAGAATATTTTCTTAGCTCTAGTAACTTTTATATACAATTAATTATTGAAAATCTCAGTATTACACAAAAGTTGTGAAAAGCTATATTTTTCTGCTAATCTGATTTCATTGTACAAATATGTATAACAGAAGTTTTAATTTTTTCTAGGAGTTTTTATTTTATTTTATCAGTAGTGTTACCATGTTTATCATTTTGTTATTGAGTTACCAATATTTATTACCAAAAACGATTGGTAATATTCATCATTCCAAGTTAAAGGTATTTTACTTTACATATTTTTATGCTTAGTTGCAAAATTTGCCAAAAGTTCAAAGCTTGCGTACCTGT